TCTTCTTCCTTTCCTCTTCACGTCCGATCTGAGAGGAGCCCGGAGCCTTTCGAGGAAACCTCATTATTATTTGTTTTACCTCCTCCAGCGAGATGGGTGCACGGAGTTCGCATGTGTCGTCCAGATTATCCAGGTGGATAATCTGCTCTGGTTCTGTTTCTATCCTGTGGTCTTGGCTCCAGATGTTGATTGTTTGAACATGTTCATTAAAAAGAGGGTGGGGTTATGAGGATAGAAAACAGTTTGCCAGTGATCATGAAAAAATTTGATAACCCCCACGGGGTCAGAAATTTGAATGTTGTCTTTGAGGAGGTGAGTGAAGGGGGGGGGAATTACTGCCTTTTAATTGTCTAATTGATTGCCAGAATTCCCGTGGAGTGCGAACTGTCATATATTCTGTTTGTTTAATTAAATTTTGCCAATAAATTTTGTGGTCATTATCAAAACTATTTATGACATGGTTTCTGAGGAGAGATAAGTCCCACCGAACTCGGTGTAAGTGATTTAGATTTCCAAGAAAACGGTTCCTGTAGCAGGTCAGGAGACGCTTGGTTCTCTCGCTTGGATGGAATGATTTACGTATCTTATAGCGCTCCCGCGGAATGGCGCGGCGCATTGCTGCTGATATCCACGCGAAGAGATGATGCCAATGCCTATCTATTTCGAGAATATTTTCTCTTTTAAGATTAAAATTGAAATTTTGACTGGCAAGGTAAGATTTAAAGTCATCCCAGTCTGCTTTTTTATACCTGAAGGATGTTGTTTCTTTGTTTTGTATAGGTGTAGTAGAAAGTTTTATAATGACGGGTATGTGGTCAGAACCGAAGTTCGGGCCAGGTTGTAGGTGTGTGGTAGGGATGTGCCGCTTTGTTCCTGAAAACGAGATCAGGGCGGCCCTTCCCTCTTGTTGTGAATGAAGTGTGGAAGTCGGGTCCGATGTAATGCAATCTTTTTGTTTCGAAAATAGACAAGAGCTGTCTTCCGTGTGCGTTGCTGGTTGTGTGGTTAAATGATGTGTGTCGTGCATTAATATCCCCGGCAAAGAAGACTGGGAGATTATTGTAATTAAAACGTTTGTTAAAATCATGAATTGGCAAATTTGTGCAAGGTCTGATATAAGCAGTGGCAATCATTATAGGGCCTTGCTGGGTGAATAGCTTGATAGCCATGAAATCAGGATGAATGAATGGAGGTGAAATGATTTTGAAATGGAAGGTGGATTTTACGAGGATGCAGGACCCTACACACCAGCCGTTTCGTGATTGTCTTGACGTGTAGCCGAAGTGTTTGATAGCATAGGAATTAGTGATAGAGGTAGAATTTAAAAGAACAACGTCAGGACTTTCCAGATCTAGGAAGTCGTAAAAAATGCGTCTTACGTTATAAAATGATCTTACATTCGCTTGTACGATTGTCAGCATGCCACTTAAGGTAGGTGGCGTTTAACGCTCACGAAAACGCGGGCGAGGACGAGCCCCTGACTGGGTCTCTTCGGGAGGGACTCCTGGGAAAGGGAGACATGGCATTCTCGGGAATAGGCGGACCGATTCCCGACGCTGCCATGTCTCCCGAGGTCTCCCCTGACGGGGAGAATGGGGAGCGAGCCCCCAGGGGGAGCGGACAGCGCGGTAGCCCCCTCTACGACCTCAGGACCGAGTTCGATTTGGAAGCTACCGTCGCTGCTGGAGTCCCCGATGATAGTATCGTCATGGTGACGATGAGGAGCGGAGGGCTCCGGGGTTTTCGTGAGCAGAGGGTCTTTTTTGCCTTTCTCTGGTGCATGTTTTGTGGTGAATGAAGTTTGCGTTTATGTTCGTTTGTGTTATTTGTAGTTTTTCCTTGTGCAGTTTCTCTTGGCTTGCGTTGTGGTTGTGGTTGTGGAAGTACGTGTGCTTGTGAGGTAGAGGGTTGTGGTGATGTGGTGGGCGCCACTCTAGCCTCGGTGTCTGTGTTTGTTTGTGTGTGATACTCGGGTATGTATAGGTTTTCGTCTGCGAAGATTCCCTCAGGAAGCAAAATGCTGGGGTAGCCGTTTTTTTGTAGTAGTGTGGGGAGTATGTCTGTGAATCTTTTGGCGTTGCAGCTATTAAAGCTACATGTAGTATTATTCGTATTTTCGGGTCGTTGACAGGTGCATGAGTGTTGTTTTGGGGGAATTGAGGTGGGAGAGGCATTGTGTTTCTTGAGGGAATCGTGTTGGAGCGAGTTGTGGTGGGTGTAGATGTTTGTAAGGGTCGGAGTGTTGAGGCGTATGTTGGGTTATTGTTCTGTTTTTTTTTATGACTTCTTTACGTTTGGGGCAAGACCCGCTGACGGCGACGTACTGCCCTTCGCAGTTGCAACACTTGGTTGGTTTGTTGCATGTGGCGAAAAAGTGGCCAGTTTCGCCACATCTGCTGCATCGCTGTTCGTGTGTGCATGTGTGTTTGTTGTGGTTGAATCTGTAGCATTTTAAACGCTGGTCAACCAGAATAAAGGTCTCAGGTTCTACGTTATAAGTTGGGACGGATGTGTTAAACATCACAATCCCACGAGTTGGGAGTTTCTGGGCTTCCTCGAGCGCAGAGCAACGGATCTTAACGATCCGTGACTCGGGGGGTTTGTATACATCAACGACAGTGACGTCGTTTTTGGCTGAGACTTCCGCTTGGATAGACTCGCACGATCGTGGCAGGATTGTCTTGTCGATCTTTTTAGCCACGACCGTACATTTAGCCTTAGTCTCAGGGGAAGGAAGGGGTTTGAAGCCCTGCTCAGCGAGTTTCCGTTGGCCGTTCGAGGAGAGGAAGGGGGTCAGTTGTTCGGGTTTGGCAACAACAACCTTGTAACCATTGTGGACCTTAAAGCAGCGAGTTACTGCAACTTCTGTGATGGCGAAGATCTTCTGGAGAGCCACCTCA